CCCCCCCCCAAAAAAAAAAAATTACGTAAAAGGAAAACTTTATCGGTTGTAAACTGATAAAAATCGTATTTTCTATGCTCTACAGAAATTGTCTATCTAAAACGTCGTTCAATTAGAGTGATAACTTAGTTTGAGTAAGCCTTACCAAACTACTACTAAGTAAACCTTATACTTAATAGTAGTAATAAACAAATACTCAACAATAAATCTATTTTCTTGGCCGTACACCCGGGGGAACCCCATAAATTTATATGTTGTCAATATTGTTACTTTGACCTCTTCGCGAAGTATTTATCAATAGTCTTGCACTAACCGGTGGTTAAAGTACCTCGTACCTGTGCAGTCAGTCATTGTAATAGTAATACTCGCAGAAATGCCTATTCCCGGGGACGGTCAACCGGTATTTTCACCGCCTGGCAACCATCACGGTGATAGCAAAGGCCGAAAACTTTCAGAAATCGGTACTTTGAGGTGCTTGTTGAGACTCCCCTGAACAGTGCATCCCTGCATGTCCAACATATATAAATTTGGTTTATTTTGTGCTGTTGTCTCGAATTTAGCTATTTTCACCGGCTCATCGACCGGCGTTCTACACCAGCCTGCGCAGAGCCCATAGAAATACATGGTACAGTGGTGCGCGTCTTAGCAACGTGGAACGTGTTGTGACGTAGCTCCGCCCCCGAGTATACATTGGTCAAAACTAAGCCACAGTAAAGTTATAAATATGACTTACGCATGCATTCTATGTGCCTTCGTCATAACATTCTCCATCGGAAATACAGATATCATCCTGCAATATAAAGTCAAAACACACTGAAACATCCACAATGTCTACGTGCTTGGTTTTCTAAGCATTATATGTGTGAAGAACAGAAAACTGGTATATTTAGAAAAATAAAAGAAAATACTAGACAGGTAATTAAACAATTTGATTCTAAATATTACATTTTGAGTTTTACGTGGTTTGCAACTAAAAGAAAATGTTGGATGATCGTTTTGTAACAGTATAAATCATTAACGCTCTCAAACAGAGATCTCAATTTTGTTACTTACACGTCGTACACAGTAACCTTGTGTACCATTGCACTCATCACACCTGGAGTTGTGTATAATAACAACCAGCTCATAACTGGTCAGCACGCCATCATTGCTAACCGATACTAACGATCCTTCGGGTTCGTCTGGGCCATCCTCGGCTGCACGTCGACGACGGCGCGACCAGGTTGGTTCAGATGGACAGCGGACGAGCTCGAAAGAGACAAATATCCCAGGCAATGTAGTCACTTCGTCAGTTACTTCAAAACCATCTGTTCCAATCTGAATGGAAGTAGTATTATAATAGGTGAGTCCAAATATAAAAGCGAGCAATGAAACTAGTAAGGATACAATGCGTAACTCGGGTGAACAACGCACATGTTGTAATGGATTAGTATTGCTGGGACGCATGCGTATATATGACGCTGAATACCATATTTGGAATATTTTCAAAACTCGTACCTTAATCTTTGTGTAGTGACAAGTAAGGGCGTCTGAGGCCACGAAGCTGTTGCCTAGGATATCAACTGATAAACACTCGTCTTCACTGGCATCGCATAACCCGCCATCATGTGCTATGAATACTTCCGGGGCCTCAAGAAGGTTAATACTACAATCAGTGCCTCCGCGGTTAGCGTAACATTCACATACCCCGTCTACACACGTTCCATTCCCGCTGCAATCAGATGGGCATAGCACACCTACTACTGATGCGGGTGGCACGAGAGCGCCGTTCACAGTCACCCAGTTGGTGGGATCTTTCGATACACTTTCTTCACACTGTTCTTTCATAAGCTCTGCCGAGTTATCACCAGCTTTCAACGAGTCCATAACCTTAAAACAAAATTGATTAAATTAAATAGAATGTCAAACAATAAATAATGGCAATAAATCAAAATACAATACCATACAATAACATGTCATTTCATGATTCGCTCAAGCCGCAAACGCCACATTTGTTTCTATGTCTCTGTGGGTTATACTAATTACCTGATACCACTTACCAATATATCTGTTTTACAGAAGTCAATCATTGTAGTTTTCTCGTCAGATTCTAGTTCACCTGCACACGCCACACCAGCGGCAGAGTTGATGATAATATCATTACAATACGTATCTGCATCGGATTCCGTTATACCAGACGGGGTCGGCCACGAGGGAACCTGAGCATAAAAACATCTCGCGTGAGTAATTGCATCGTTGGTACAAATATAAGTGTCATCCAATCGCTGACGGGTTGCGTATACACTATGGGACCACCAGGGAATAACACAATAGATAACTGATACAAACTCCGCGATGGCATACAAAATTATTGCCATTAAAAGTAGTTACAGTTATGGTGCAAGAATACACAATACGGAATGGTCAATTATTCCACCACTAAAGCTATAATCGAAAGAAGTACACGCACAAAGATATGTGCATATATTTACATACATAATATTTGTGTATAAAGTGTATTCCAGTCACTGATTAGAAATGATGGTCCCATGTGGACTTAACTCTGCGGTACGCAACATATTTTTTGAAGGAGTATACGTACCGATGGAACAAAGTCAGGGTCATATTCAAAACTCAAATCGCTATTTCCAGTAGAGCGTCGTCTGCGCCTGCGCCTTGCTTCTGCGGTCTGAATGTAATCCTCAGTGACGTCGCACCAGCGGTCAGTACAATCAGTGGGATCTGAGTTCTCGGTTGGCAGATGAGATCTAGCACGGTCTTTTTCAGCGCTACATTCCTCTTGCACCGTGACACTGTCCATATTATCAAGAGTAATAGCATTTGTGCTGGGACTACACGTACAGTATGTGAGGATCTCTTCCGGCTCCGGTTCCTCAGTTGGATCAGTGCCAACATCAGCAGCTATGTCTTCTATTTCGCCATAGAACAAATTATATCCATCTGGAGTTCTACATAAAGAAATATTTTCAACAATCGTCAATCAATTCAACGCAGTTAAAACATCAGCACGGTTTAATGACAATTCTGAAACAACATGAGTGTAATGACAAATGCCCATAAGTGTCAATTAGAGATGTTTAAGTTAACTTATTGATGGATGTTTTCAGTTAGAATATTCAGCATATTGCAATTGCTTAAGTTTGTTCCTTTATTCTGAATTGGACATATGTGTGATATTAAAGCCGCATATATTTTTAAAGTCATCTGAAATTCTTCCAAACTTTCCGCGCGCGTAAATGTGATCCGCCCATGTCCAGTATGAATTTTAATGGATGTGAGTCGGCTACGATTTGTTTTGTTAAATGACCCCAATGACCGTAATTATGTTACCAATGCAACCCCCAAATCGTACATATAATGACGGCTCCAAAAACAGCAATAATGCAATTACACATGGGAGTTGCACGGTCTCAAATTACGACCACTGTTGTTTAAGTTTTTAGCTTGTGAAAGCTGTTCAATGGTTACATGGCATCAACGTAGTGTTCGCAACAGTACGTATTAAACTTGTGTATAATAGTAATCTCCATTTGTTCGTCGCTTGCATGAATCAATCAGATTAAACTTTTCACAATATGAGTGATCATCAAACATAGTTAAAGATGCTAACAAAATAAGCCTCATATATATTTAATAAAGTAAAATGAGTAGGCGACATGCACGAGGTTCAGAGAATATAGTTGTGTCAGCATCTTCACTAAAAATGATTATTCACGTCATCGTGATCAGAAACCACGTTGCGAACGCATTAAATGTATTTTATTTGTATATATTATGAAGAAACCATGCAAAGTTACGTTATCCATATGACACTGTTTGCGTGCGTCGACCTGATTATTGTAATACTCCGTTTATATTCTACTTTTTTAGTTGAAAAAACAAAACCGAGTATTTATCAATGAAAACCATGACGACAATTATCAATAATCCTCGCAAACAGGATCTATAGCCTACCTCCATGATTCAGACAACTCGTGTAGTCCATCCCAAAAAGAATTTGTTGGTGTAGCGTATGACGTGGTCGATGAACCAAATGGTCCTTTGAGAAGATCGTTTGATTTGTCGCTGTCGCAGCTACCACAGAATCCACCACTTATTATGCCGTAGTCATCGGGAGCGGGCGCAAAATATACCCCGAAACCTATATATGTACCCTGTATTTCAATCGAGGCACCAGTTGGAAGATGGATCTGTGACAAAGAGGAATGATGGAGAGATGGTCGGATTCAGCTCTGTTTTGAAATTCGTAATTTTGTGTACTCTGTTTGCACCACAATAACGAATTCGAGAAAATGGGATTTATTTGTTTGTTTTACCTTGTACGTGTTTCCACTATTTTCACGAATCAATCGGAAGCCAGGGGTCATCTCACCATTCACAAAAATCTCTATTGTTAGAGTGGAAATGTCCCTGTAGTAGCTGTACTGTTGTCCTCTCCAGTAATACACTATTAACTCTTTCTTAACTTTACAGCGATCCACGACAATTACGTCATCGTCCACTCTCACAGCAACGCCACAGTTACAGGCTACGGAACCACACGGTGCAAGACGAGTCTGAACCTAGTTTGTATGAATATATAAAAACAACTGTTATATACACAATATGAGTATACTTTGTTTTATCCTCAGTATGCACTGGGCGTTATCCATATATGATTTCAGATGAAGTTGATGCCCAGAAAGACGATTGAGAGTGTACGTAGTTGTAACGAATGTTTCCTACCTCATATGGCTGAGTTTCGTGTTTATAGAATATGTATTCACCGGGCATGTATATATCATACCGTCTGGGGGTGAAGCAGAATACACATGAGTTTAATATTTGAAAATTCCATATTCGTGTAATGTTAAATTTCTATTGCTTACTTAAGTTTACTCGAATTCCTGTTTAGATGCGAATTTCAGTATTTAGTTTCGTATAGTGATCGCAGTTTCCAGAACAGAAAAAAATTAAAACATATATGCCTTGTGCGAGTCTGAGGCGTGTTGCTATATAAGCCTAATTTCACATAATTATGGAAAATATAAAATGATTATAATTTCTTGGTAATTATTTATGTAGATTTATAATTTTCCCATAACTTTAAGTCTCATTCTGGTAGTCATTTTAAAGTAAAATTCATGCATAATGCGAATAGTAGTTTGTTTTCTGGTGACCAATTAGATAGTGAAGTGATATTTTGGGGAGTGTGTGCAACATAAGAGTGTCAGACACGTTAAACGTTAACATATTAAACTACGAAGGATTTCATGTTCACTCAATGTACGATTACGTCACACTATTCTTAGCTTATCTCAGGAAAAATATATCTGAAAGTGAAGGTCAACTTCTATCACTTGTGAACAAATCTCATTTTCACCATATTATTTTTAAATAATTTGCCTCAGGACCATAGACAAATACAAAAAAAACAGGTAAATTCAAATGCTGAACTGAAATAAATAAATATATACATACTGTCCGTCACAGGTATAGTAGTGAGGATCACCGGTTCCACTGCATTTTCTATACGAATAATCTCTATCGACCGTTTTTAGCTGCGAAAAAAAAATCCGACAAAAGTAAATATTGTGATCTAGCCATAATCAGATAATTCAACTGATATTTAAGTCCAGGAAATTCCCGTGATTATGTGCAATAGACTCGTCCAATATATGTGGATGTTCCTTAACGGTAGATATGCGTTTGTTTAATCATAATAATATATATAATATAGTGATTATCGATGAATATATATTATTGATTAGTGTTTTACGAAAACTACCTCTATCAACTGCTTCACGTGATAGCCATCCCACAAGGGGGTTCACTGACGTGTCGATTGGTAGGAAGCCAAGGTAAACGGAGCCGTCACCGTCCCTGAAGAAATCACGCCTGGCTTTTACTGTAATAGTAAAGGAGCTGCCGTCAACGCTGTTGGCCTGAGTGACCACCGCTCCACATTGCTCTAAGACCACGGCATCGACATACTCCCCGTACACACCGAATCTATCAGTTACCACAATTGGAATGACGACTTGACACTCACTGCTTCCATCGGTACACAGTAACGGCACCGTTGATTCCAGCTGGATGACAGTGCCACCTCCGCCTTCCGACAGCTCGATTGACTCACCAAATGCGATATCAGTTGTCTGTGAATCAAATTCGATAAATGTTTAAATCATGGATATTTCAACAATATTTGATTTGTTTGCAATTATTAAAAACAATTTCTAATCACCTAGTTGACCCCGGGAACTATATACCGTGTACTTGTATTTGCGCTTACAATAGGTTAGAACACGTTCATGTTAAGAGCCCGATGCTTATTTTTAAGTCATATTTTATACAGTAAATTATCATCCAATAGAGGGGCTACAGTAAACGCATCTTCATAAAACAGCAAGCAAGAAAAAAATGCAATAGAATATTTATATATAGCCCTACACACCTTTACTTTTCACACATACACACATACACAGTAATGCAAACC